GAGAATGGGCATGAAGGAAAGGGGTGGGAGAGAAAAAACCTGGCCTGGGGCCCTACTGCATGTCCCTTCTGTCTGCAAACCTGGGCCCTCACCATCATTATCCCCATTCTACAGATACAGAAACCGAGGTTTGGCGAGATCCTGGGGTTGCCAGAGCTCACGAAGCTGGTGGTGGGTGGGTCAGGGCACAGGCTTTGCTCATATGACCATGAGGCTGATGGTTTTTGCTTTCTTCCATGCGATCTTAGCAATCATCAGAGACTGTTACAATGAGCACATTTGGTGTTACTCCGTAGTGCCTAGGACTGTTCATGATTTGTAGTAGGTGCTCAGTAGATGCGTGGGTGAATGACTGAATGAATGAATAAAAACCACAGAGCTCCCCTTAGAAAGACCGATACGGGCACATGCAGCTAAACAGAGGAAACCCAGGTGCACGTGGGCAGTCGGCCTGACGTACCCGGAGTAGGGGAAGTAAATATGGCCAAGAAGCATCTGGAGCAGGCCCAGGGTGCTCAACCTCAGACGGTCAGTCTCCAGGCTGCGGGGAGGGGAGCGGACCTCCTGCCTCCCCAGGCATTCTCCATCTTGGGAGACATCGATTTCAGTGCAGCGCTGGCGCCTCCGCTCATTGCTGGACTTCACAGAAGCCCTGTTAGCCTCCCTGGAAGATACCATTTTTTCCTCCTATAAAATTAAGGGGGAGAGATGATGGGCACTTTGGCCAAAATAACACAACTGGGGCAGTTTTTGGAAGCCCAGGGAGGTATTGCTGACATTTAAGCCACGTTAGGTGCAACCTCTGGGTGCCTTGGGAGAAAAAGCTCCCAGTCGATGGCACCAGCCATTGGCCCTGGCAGGACATAAGGGACCTCAGGCTGAGCCAACATCACTGTTCCCACCAAGAAGACATCTTTCTCCACTGCTGGTTCCAAAAGACATGCGTGGCAGGCAACAAAAGCCACACTGGAGAGTGCAGCTGTGCTGTGAGGGCCGTTCTTGGTTCATTTATGGGGCAGCAGGGCGGGGGGAAGAGGAGAACAGAGTCCTCTTATGACTCTCCTGGGTTGTTTTCTAGCCTAGGGGGAGGGCAGGGAATGGGGTTTCTGTGCCAGGGACCCCCTTTCTCATCGACCTCACACAACACTGGCTCACACAGCTGGGCTGGTCTCCTTCACAAGAGGAAGCTGCTGTGTTGGGGACTTGGACGGCAATCCTATTCCCGGAAAAGGGGTCTTGTCCCAGACCCTAAGAGCAGGTTCTTGGATCTCTCGTGGGAAAAAATTCAGGGTGAGTCGCAGAGTATATTAAAGTTAAAACAGTTTATCAGAAACCACTTGGCCGGGCACGGTGGCTCATGCCTGTAAACCCAGCACTTTTGGGAGGCTGAGGTGGGCGGATAATGATGTCAGGAGATCGAGACCATCCTGGCTAACATGATGAAATCCTATCTCTACTAAAAATACACAAAATTAGCCGGCCGCCTGGTGCCCGCGCGAGGCTCTGTCCTCAACAAAAAAAGCAAGAAGAAGCAAGCACGCACCATTTCTAGGCTGCACACAGTGGCTCGCCCTATAATCACTGTACTCCCAGCCTTTGGGAGGCTGAGGCAGGCGGATCCCTGAGGTCCAGGATCGAGCCCGCCCTGCCCACTGAATGCAACCCTGTCTCTTACTCCCCCACCCTTAGCCCAGGCGTGGTGGCGGTTGCCTGTACTACCGCTCTTGGGAGTCTGCGCCGGCGCATTGTGCCTGGAACCCGGGAGGCACCGTTTGCAGTGAGCCACGATTCGCCCTGCACTTCCCGCCTGGGGGAATAGAGCCAGCGCCATCTCAAACCAACAACAAAAAAACAGCACCACTTCTTGCGAGAGGGTGTCCCAGCGCCGGGAGGCTGCTTCTACCTTTAACCTAGTGCTTGCCTTATTAAGGCTGTACAAACAGTGTGCTTTCTTACAAGGCTTGTGATCCGCTTTGCGACTATGGCCTTTATTCTCCTCTGTTACTACTGATTTCTCAGCTTTACCGTATACTATTATCTTTAAGCAAATACCTGCTTCTGCCACGGATGCGTGGGCTCGCCTGTAA